GGGGACATGTTTGGTATTATGTGAAAGTTACCAATTGTGGATTTAAGTCTAACATTGTTTCTCTTTATTTTATTTATTTATATAAAAAGGAACCATGTACAAATGGAACAAAAATTGTTCTATTTGATGCATTGGAGTTAGTTGGGAGAACAAAGTAGCAAAAGCATGCATACCATTAAATGCACATGTGTTTACTGTGTGGACCACTGGACCTATCGAGAGTGATCACTCTCTGTCTTTTCAGTTCCATCTTAAAGTCTTGACTTAATTTAGGAAGGCAGCCTACTACTGACTGCTACTGACGTAGCACACATTCCTGCTTCAGTGTGTTCATTTGAACAGCAGAAAGTGTACGGGGGAAGTGAAGGAAATCCAACAAACTGATCAGACAATATCACGTTCTGTAACACACATGGTTACTGAGCCAGAGTTTACTTTTACATTAAGTCAATAGGAGCCAGAGAGTTAGAACCAAACTTTGTCCATGAGCATTTCCGATTGGGCTTCTTTGAGCTAGCGGCTTAGCATTGTCCATCTGTATACAGTCTATAGTTATGACCCACTTGCTGTTATCTGTTCAGACTTTTTATTGTTTTTAGAGTGACTTTTATGAGTGCAAGGATACTGCTTTACTGATAATAAGAGTGTTCAAAGGGGATACAAAATTTCCTAACTTTTCTTAAATTTTATATTTGAGTTTCCCTCTCGGCTGGGCCAACTCGGGATGGTTCTTTTTTATGGTTAACTTGCAGCATTGATGATGAATGCAATGTTTTATAAAGTGCTTTTTTTGGACACTCATAGTCCATTCTCTACTGTGGTTGACGTCACTGCATTTATTTGAAAAGAGAAGTGGGAACAATTTGAGTCCTGGGGTTTTCCAAAGTGACGTATTCTAAGCTCGCCACTGCCACTCTGACTGCCACCCCCCCGAACCCAGAAATTGATAAAGGGGAAGGAAATTGATAGATGGATGGACATATTCTAAGCTTGTGTCAATGTCATTTTGATCAGGAGTTGAATCTATAAAGTGGTTTTCTCAGTGGGAAGTTGGACAAATACGTTTATTTTGTTTACATTATGAAGGTGCAGTGCCTTGCGAAAATATTCAGCCCCCTTGAACCTTTCAACTTTTCGCCACATTTCAGGCTTCAAACATAAAATATATTAAAACTAATTTTTTTTGTCAAGAATCAACAACAAGTGGGACACAATCGTGAAGTGGAACAAAATTTATTGGATAATTTAAACTTTTTTATCAAATAAAAAACTGAAAAGTGGAGTGTGCAATATTATTCGGCCCCCTTGCGCTAATACTTTGTAGCGCCACCTTTTGCTGCAATTACAGCTGCAAGTCGCTTGGGGTATGTCTCTATCAGTTTTGCACATCGAGAGACTGGAATTCTTGCCCATTCTTCCTTGCAAAACAGCTGGAGCTCAGTGAGGTTGGATGGAGAGCGTTTGTGAACAGCAGTCTTCAGCTCTTTCCACGGATTCTTGATTGGGTTCAGGTCTGGACTTTGACTTGGCCATTCTAACACCTGGATACGTCTATTTGTGAACCATTCCATTGTAGATTTGGCTTCATGTTTTGGATCATTGTCCTGTTGGAAGATAAATCTCTGTCCCAGTCTCAGGTCTTTTGCAGACTCCAACAGGTTTTCTTCCAGAATGGTCCTGTATTTGGCTCCATCCATCTTCCAATTTTAGCCATCTTCCCTGTCCCTGCTGAAGAAAAGCAGGCCCAAACCATGATGCTGCCACCACCATGTTTGACAGTGGGGATGGTGTGTTCAGGGTGATGAGCTGTGTTGCTTTTACGCCAAACATATCGTTTTGCATTGTGGCCAAAAAGTTCGATTTTGGTTTCATCTGACCAGAGCACCTTCTTCCACATGTTTGGTGTGTCTCCCAGGTGGCTTGTCGCAAACTTTAAACAAGACTTTTTATGGATATCTTTGAGAAATGGCTTTCTTCTTGCCACTCTTCCATAAAGGCCAGATTTGTGCAGTGCACGACTGATTGTTGTCCTATGGACCTCAGCTGTAGTTATCTGCAGTTCATCCAGAGTGATCATGGGCCTCTTGGCTGCATCTCTGATCAGTCTGCTCCTTGTTTGAGATGAAAGTTTGGAGGGACGGCCGGGTCTTGGTAGATTTGCAGTGGTCTGATATTCCTTCCATTTCAATATAATTGCTTGCACAGTGCTCCTTGAGATGTTTAAAGGTTGGGAAATCTTTTTGTATCCAAATCCGGCTTTAAACTTCTCCACATCTCGGACCTGCCTGGTGTGTTCCTTTGTCTTCATGGTTCTCTCTGCGCTTTAAACAGAACCCTGAGACTATCAAAGAGCAGGTGCATTTATACGGAGACTTGATTACACACAGGTGCATTCTATTTATAATAATCAGTCATTTAGGACAACATTGGATCATTCAAAGATCCTCACTGAACTTCTGGAGTGAGTACACAGAGTACCTTTTTTGCCGCGCTCATCAGCGAGTCGAGTGAGTCTATAGTGGCTCCACCAGAGCGTGTTCTGTGACTGACTCGGCGAAAAATACGGCACTTTGAGCGGAGAATTGAGAAGACAGAAGATAAACATGTCTGGCCCTGAAGCTACCTGTGCTAACCACATAGCATTAGCATCGCAGCCGCACAGTGAGGGAGAGTTTGTTAAAACTCTTATACAGGCTGCAGACATGGTCTGAGAAACCACATGCTTTGACCAAAATCATGTTGCCATTGATAAGAGACTGATGTCGCATATTCATTTGTGGTGTTACTGAAACTCACAGAGGAGTTTTGAGCGCTGCTGCTGGTGCTGCTGCTGCTGCTGGTGCTGCTGCTGCTGCTGGTGCTGCTGCTGCTGCTGCTGCTGCTGCTGCTGGTGCTGTTGCTGGTGTGTTGAACAGTGTGGACTGGTCCTGCGCTCTCAGCCTGGTACCGATGGTAAAGCAGGTGCTGGATGGAGGTGATGATATTTGGACATTTGACTGTATTTTACAGACACTGTGCTGCAGTCCTTAAGAATAGATCACATTATGGAAGTTGTTTCGTTAATTTCAACTGAATCATGGTCAGTGTGATGCTTTCTCTGTGACAATAAAATCGTGGACCTTACCACACTGAATATGGTTAAGCTGAGGTACTGTAATAAAGTGCTTTTTTTCTATCCACCTACAGTGGGGCAAAATATTTAGTCAGCCACGGATTGTGCAAGTCCTCCCACTTAAAATAATGACAGAGGTCTGTAATTTTCATCATAGGTACACTTCAACTGTGAGAGAGAGAATGTGAAAAAAATCCAGGAATTCACATGGTAGGATTTTTAAAGAATTGATTTGTAAATTATGGTGGAAAATAAGTATTTGGTCACTTCAAACAGGGACGATCTCTTTCTCTCACAGACCTGTAACTTCTTCTTTAAGAAGCTCTTCTGTCCTCCACTCGTTACCTGTATTAATGGCACCTGTTTGAACTTGTTATCTGTATAAAAGACACCTGTCCACAGCCTCAAACAGTCAGACTCCAAACTCCACTATGGCCAAGACCAAAGAGCTGTCGAAGGACACCAGGAAAGGAATTGTAGGCCTGCACCAGACTGGGAAGAGTGAACCTACAATAGGCCATTAGCTTGGTGTGAACAAATCAACTGTGGGAGCAATTATCAGAAAATGGAAGACATGCAAGACCACTGATAATCTCCCTCGATCTGAGGCTCCACGCAAAATCTCATCCCGTGGGGTCAAAATGATCATGAGAACGGTGATCAAAAATCCTAGAACCACACGGGGGGACCTGGTGAATGATCTGCAGAGAGCTGCGACCAAAGTAACAAAGGCTACCATCAGTAACACACTACGACGACAGGGAATCAAATCCTGCAGTGCCAGACGTGTCCCCCTGCTGAAGCCAGTGCATGTCCAGGCCCGTCTGAAGTTTGCCAGAGAGCACATGGATGATACAGAAGAGGATTGGGAGAATGTCATGTGGTCAGATGAAACCAAAGTAGAACTGTTTGGTATAAACTCAACTCGTCGTTTTGGAGGAAGAAGAATACTGAGTTGTATCCCACCATACAACACCCTACAGTGCCTTGCGAGAGTATTCGGCCCCCTTGAACCTTTCAACATTTTGCCACATTTCAGTCTTCAAACATAAAGATATAAAAATTTAATTTTTTGTCATGAATCAACAAGTGGGACACAATCGTGAAGTGGAATGAAATGTATTGGATAATTTAAACTTTAACAAATAAAAAACTGAAAAGTGGGGCGTGCAATATTATTTGGCCCCTTTACTTTCAGTGCAGCAAACTCACTCCATAAGTTCAGTGAGGATCTTTGAATGATCCAATGTTGTCCTAAATGACTGATGATGATAAATAGAATGCACCTGTGTGTAATCAAGTCTCCGTATAAATGCACCTGCTGTTTGATAGTCTCAGGGTTCTGTTTAAAGCGCAGAGAGAACCATGAAGACAAAGGAACACACCAGGCAGGTCCGAGATACTGTTGTGGAGAAGTTTAAAGCCGGATTTGGATACAAAAAGATTTCCCAACCTTTAAACATCTCAAGGAGCACTGTGCAAGCAGTTATATTGAAATGGAAGGAGTATCAGACCACTGCGAATCTACCAAGACCCGGCCGTCCCTCCAAACTTTCATCTCAAACAAGGAACAGACTGATCAGAGATTCAGCCAAGAGGCCCATGATCACTCTGGATGAACTGCAGATAACTACAGCTGAAAAATTATAGTGAAAAAATAAAAGTCCTTTTATTGAATGGACTGCCTACGCGTTTCGACCAACAGCGGTCTTTGTCAGGGCACCTCACGTTAACGCGCAATAATTTTGACAGCCCTAAAATAAATACAAAAAATACAACATTTTATAAAAATAGAATAAGGCATGCATAAAAATACGAGATCTACGTAACATTACTTAAAATGACTACTATATATGTGCACCAAGTACACACAATAGACTGTCATGGCATGCGGGAGACGAGCGGGAGACGAGCGGGAGACGAGCGGGAGACGAGCGGGAGACGAGCGGGAGACGAGCGGGAGACGAGAATCTTTAAGCCCAAAATGGTGTATGTGACTAGAGGAGTTTTCTTTTTATATGCAAGTCAACAGGAGCCAGAGGGAGTTGGAGCAAAACTTTGTCCATGAGCACTTTACTATTGGACTTCATTCAGCTAGAGGCTTGGCATTGTCTGTCTGAATTCAGGCATGGTTGTAACATGTTTAAAAACTGTAAAGGAGTTAGATTAAAAGGAGATATATGCAGAGTTCACCATAATGCAGCCAGAGCCAATAAAAAGCTGTGTCCCGTCGGCACAAAGGCCTCGTGTGGGTGCGGGACATTTGCCACTTGTTTGGTGTGAGTCTGCCGGAAACAGGAAATCCTGACGAGGCCCATGTTTACCTCAAGAGCAGAGCTTTCAAAGGGCCAGGCCTGGGTGGGGTGAGAGGGGTGAGGGGGGTGTTTGGGCAGGAACGGGGGGAGGGGGGGGGGGGGACAGGTGGAACCCACTGTCAGCACACAGAGGCCTCTTCAGGGGGACCGTCCCGTACAAAGACCTGGTTCGGGAGGTGAGAGAAATGGCATCAGGGGAAAGTCAACAAGTCGGTCATTGCTTTGGATGTGAAACCAGGAGAATGTGGAGTTGTTTGCAAAAGCCAGATCCTGTCAGATCTCTGAAGCTAAGCAGGGCAAGGCCTGGTTAGTACTGTGATCGGAGACCTCTGGGAACATCAGGTGCCACAGTGGTGCGGCTGTAAAGTGTCCTTAGGCTAGATACTTCACCCACATTACCTAGAATTAGTTCGGTATGTGTGTGATCGCTTGGTGGTTGTTGGTAGAAAATCATATATAAAATAAAGAAAAAATCTGCATCAGATATGTCTGATGAAGGGCCTTAAAATGTCACTATCGTGGTCTGTAAATAAGTAATTTGGGAGCTACATAGTCGTGCATATTTTTCTTTATTTTACATATTGTGCACCTTTTTTTAAATCTAGCACGCTGGTTCAGGCTACTGGGATGTGCGGCCTTATTTGAAACCCTTTTGGTTGGGTAGTTCATCACCACAACGTGACGTGATGGTACACACTAAAGCCTAGTGTATAGTCGCGCGGCGCAGACCTTACGGTGGTGATGTGACGTCACTTGCGCAACACGTGGATCACCGCCAGGCCCACCGCAAGGCCCACCGCAAGGCCTGCCGCGCACCCTCGAAAATGTCTGTGATTGGTCCGTGTGTGTGTGTGTATTGGAAGGAAGCATGGAGTGGCTGCAAGGATCATGGACGAGGCACTTAAGAGCAGACTGTTTTGGGCTTCGAAGGAAAAGTAGTTTGGTCTCATGGCAGAGCCTGATATACGCAGAGACTGTGGACTGTTCAGTTCTGTTGGATATCTAACACATATATAACTTATAAACTGTACAGTCGTTTCTTTTGCACTGTTCCTGTCTTGTTTGAATCGTAGCTTATCGCGTCTGTTGCATTCCTCCTGCACTTTTAAATAGTTCATATTTGTCTCAGATATTTACCACTCATTGTTTTGCTGTTTGTACTGAATACACTTTAATAATAACTATGTTTCCAACAAGAACTGTGTCTTTGTTCACAGCATCACAGTTAAATGAGTTGAAACGATGAGTTTAGAACTATCACATAAACCTACAGTAGAAACACATGATCTCAAACAGCTTCACTGTTGTTTTTGTTCTGTATGGGACTGCTTTGGTTAGGCAACTCCTGTGAGTTTGCCATCACGTGGTTGGTTGTGGGATTACAACATTCGGGGAACGCGCAAGTGTACCACAAATTGGTTACGTAGGTCCAACGTAACCGTAAGCAGCGCCGCGCGAGTGTACACAGGCCTTAAGAAACTCAGAGAAAATTCATGTCCATGGAATTAGCTGCGGTCATATCCTCATGCTAAATTTATTGTTCAGATATTTCACACAAGTGCGTGAGCTTGCCCTCCTGCAGTAGACACCACCACAGAGCAGCTCCACATAACGAACAAAAACATTCCAGTGAGTGGGTCTCGTAAATCCAGCTGTAAGAGGTCTGTGTAAGCAGGAGGTGTGTGCTGCTACTGCTGCTGGTGCTCCTACTACTACTAATGCTGCAGGGAGTGGAGAGGTCTGACAGGATCTGGCTTTCCTCCATTTTTATAATCACCCATTTGGGTGATTAGAAGATAAAATTGTTTACCCTTGAAACTTGTTTGACTTTACTGAAGATAATATTCAGGGGCGTCAAATCATGAAATTTGAGTCTATTTAAATATATTTGGGTATCAGAGAATGAAACGGTTCGAACACAGGATATGCAATAATAACAAATGCATATGAGCCATTGATCCATAAGGAGCGGGATGACCACTGTCCAAAAGTGTTAAGAAATGTTAAATGTCCTGGATCAACACTGTCCTTAGACCCTTCAACATCAGAGAGGAACCACTCAAAAACCAGTAAGAAAAATGTGAGAAACTTGGAGGCTGAGAGAGTGAAAGACGGGGAAAGACAACTAATGCCATTCCAATTTATATATTATTCTAATGGCCAAAAATAATTCCCCAATATTTTTTCTTTAAGCTCTAATACACCAACGCATCTGATATTAGCTTGGCTGGAGCGAGAAACCCAACCCCACAGTGAGTGTGCCGCTGGATTCGGCCGAGGCACGGTTTGGCACTGATCCAAACCACATTTTTAAATATTTTATACGCTTTACGCTCAACTGGTGCAACAGTTTCCAGATGCTCGACGAAAACATCTGAAATCTGATGTCTTTAATGCCCATGTGTATAGAGCCAGAGGATACTGTGTCTTTATTATGTCAGGGGACAATAGAACCCCATAGTTTCGCAAAAGGGTGAGCAAGGCTGACGTAATTGGGGACAGCCCTCTGCGGATTCTCACGAAGCTGTCAAATGTTATAAGCAAGATCAGTTTCACTTATGGCACAGCTCATACTCAAGGGAATTAAAGGCATTAAAATAAATAATACATACATAATCACAGTACACTAAAAGTAGGATTTAAACTTTGTCAGAGTAGCCTGTCCTCATATTTTCAGGAAGTCTTTTCCAGATTTTAGCTGCAGAAAATCTGAAACGCTACCTCCCCATATGAGTGGGCAATATGCGCAAAAATACACAACTCTTTCCCAACTCCTGATAACGATATTGTCACAATATCTTTAAAATCAATTTTTTTACACAAAATGATCTGCAATGATTTTCTTGCCAGGGCATGTATAGATAGAAACAGCATAGATCAAAATAGCAGATTTTTATTTGTGCTTCACACATCTTTGCAAAACATGCACAAACAGATATTAACATTAAAATCAAATTCAAGTAGCACGGGAAGAACCCATCCAAAAAGGCTTGCTCAATATTTACTGAAATCGAGCAGTGATTGGCTTTTTAGGCACGCATTTGACAAATGGGCATCTTGCCTGCTGTAATTGTAATATGTATTGGAGATATGTGAATTTTTATCGCCCTGAGCACCAGCAGGAGGCCAGTCCCTATGCTCCTCAGAGTTCGAGTTTGTTCATATTGTACCAACATGTTGATTGATACATTCGTGACATTTTGTTTTCTAGCAAAATTTGTGTACAAGGCAAGTGCTTCACAAGTAAAGCACAGACTAAAAAAGAAGACTAAACCATGTAATACTGTTATCTGTATCATTAGAGGCCGTTTTGAAATGCACTTTCACACATTAGTAACAGACTGTTGGTATAAGGTGTGGTCTCTGATATCTGAAGCCGACGCTGTATTGAAATTCTACCAAGCAAGTTTCTGCAAATTACTGGAGGCATTTAGCTGAGGACTCATCACTGAACATTGGCAAGACTCTAATATAAGCACAATGAGCGTGTTGGCTCTCACTGTAATGTAGGGCAATTGGCAATGCTGTAATCATTTGCAGAGACACTGTACTGTATGTAGCTGGAAGTCCTTCTCTTACTTCTATACTTGTTTTTAAATGAATGGGATTTAGTAGCAGTGGTAGTACTAGTAAATTTCTCCTTTGTGAGATCATTAAAGTTTCTTATATTTTCTTTGTAGTTGTTGCTGGTAGTGTTGATGGTAGTAGTTGGGTTTTTAGTATACAGTAGTATACAGGTGCGGTGTACACTGCTGACTCATGGTTACCACAGCTCTGTGAAGCTGTTTGCTCTGGATCACTATTCGTGGAGTTTGTGTGTTCTCCCTGTGTCTGCATAGGTTTTCTCTGGTTCTTGCCACTAAAAACATGTACTGTAGGTAAAACTCTCGTCCGGAAGAGCATCCATATCTGGAAATTACACCCCTGTTACCATGGCGACCATGGTTCCTGAGAGAGGCCCTAGCGGCAGTGAAGGCTGGGTTAAATGTAGAGGACACATTTCAACACTCATTGATTGAGTCATGCTTAACTTTGATAAGACACAATGAATTGTTGGTTTAATGATCAACATATTATTGATAAAATCACTTTAGCGTGACACCCGCTCTCGTCCAATCACAAAACGAGGCTGCGTCCTCTAGCCTCAGTGCTGCTAAACACAGTAGCATGTTAGCAGAATTGACTATAACTCCTCTTGCTGTACTGCATACACAGCAAAACAGCCCAAAAGACACAACAGTGAGGAAGAGAAGAGGGAACTACAGCGAAAAAATGATCAAAGAAATCAAGCGTGGATAAACCTAGCTAGCTTACATCGTATCACCACGTCACCACGTAAGGGCCACAGAGCAAGATGGCGCCGCAGTGAGGGCTCTAGTGTGCACAATCTGTGTTTTGTTGCTGTTTGTCTGTGTCACTTGCCACTGTGAAGTATGACCGAGATACACTTCTTTACATTCTGGACCTTGCGTGTGACGGGTCACTCGTACTACCCGAACTGAGGTGCACAAACTTCAAGTGCCCCACTCGAGAGGCTCGTAGAGCACGGCATGCGGGCCGCGGCGGTGGCCGCCAACAGAGCGAGGGGACTGGGCGTCTCCGGCGTTCTCCGCGGTGTGGAGCTAGGCACCTTGAGTCGGCGAAGGAGGAGCAGACACCGGGGAAGGCGAGGCGGTCTGCTCGTTTGAAGCCGTTCCTACCGGACCGCTCTGCCCTCCATCTACCTGGCCAACGTCCAGTCTCTGCCGAACAAGACGGACGAGCTCATGTGTCGGGTCCAGAGCCAGCGCGAGGCCCGGGACTGCGCTGTGTTCTGCCTTAGCGAGATGTGGCTCCACACGAACATCCCGGACTCTGCTGTTCAGCCCCCGGGATTCACAGTTCACCGCGCGGACAGAGAGAAGGAGACCACGGGCAATTCCAGAGGTGGAGGTGTGTGCTTTTTAATTAATCAGTGCTGGTGCACGGACACTTGCATCGTGAACCAAACATGTACTGCTAATCTGGAATGCCTGGTCTTGAGCTGCCGTGACTTTTTTATGTGCTGTTTACATTCACCCACGTGCGGATTATAAAGTAGCCATACAGGATCTGAGCGAGATCCTCCACAAACATGAGTCTGCTCATCCTAATGCAGTCATCATTGTTGCTGGGGATTTCAATAAATGTAATTTAAAGACTGTACTCCCGAACTTTTACCAACATGTGACTCGAGCTACAAGAGGAGCACATGTTCCGGATCACTGCTACAGTAACGTGAAGGGAGCTTACAGGTCCAGTCTCAAACCTCCTTTTGGGAAATCTGACCTCTCCTCTGTTCTCCTTCTTCCCTCATATACTCAGAGGAGCAGGGAACATAAACCAACTTCTCGCACTGTGCAGTGTTGGTCTGAGGAGTATGGAAGCCCGTTTCCGCCAAGTAAAAAAAAAAAAAAAGCCTACAGAAAGTCAAAAAGTGTTGTTGTCTGGAACGGTCTCTGGTCATCCCTGTTATAGATCTATGACCATGGGTCATCCTCTACCTGCAGATTATGTAAAGATTTTGCCTACAGACAGTGACCACATCCATGAAGTAGCCAGCAATAATGTTGTGGTAGTAATCGCGTTAAAATGCAAACGGTCTCTCCGTTTATGATTAGAATCCGCTTCAGAAGCCTATATTTAATTTATCCTAAACGGACTGTGGAAGATTGTTAATAAAACACATGCGGCTGTTCAAAGTCATTGAGCATCAACTGGTGACATCTGGTCAGTATCACGGCTATCGATGGATGCACCAGAAATGCACTGAATAATATTGTGACTGACAGAGAGACAGTTCGCGATGACAGGACAGTGAGGGAGGTCCGCAGACAGAGGCAGGAGAACCACAGTCACGGGCACTGACATTATTACCCTTTTGGAATTGCGATCAGTGCATTGAAGAGTATGTGACGTGTTTGCGTGCACGCGGGGGTGAGCTGATGGAGCGAGCGTGTGGTAAAGTTGTTGGCGTATGAGCAAGAACACTGAGACATATAGGGAATAAGTACCTTGTCTGATTATTTTATTGTGACAAAATAAAGCCCACGACTCTTTTAGCAACAATCCAGAGAAATAACTCCGCAGATAACAGTGAGGGGCTTTGTTAAACCCATTATAGATGCATGAATAAAACCCCGTACTCAACACGTAGAAAGGGCATCATTTCAGCCGTGGAAAGACAGCGTCATCGTCTGGTCAGAGTGGTCTACAGCAGATTGGATTGGAATGTCTCGATGGCTCATTTTCCTTTGATTTATTATAAAAACATATTGCTCACATTATTTGTTACTATGTCGAAATAAGAAGTCGTTTGATTTAAATGTTGTATATATGTAAATTGAATTTAACATAAATAAATAAAAATACAGCTCCCCCCTGCGTCCTACGACCGCGGTCTGGGGCTTTAAACAGGAAATTTTTACAGAATCAATCAAACAACATTATTTCTGGCTACTTCAAGGATGCAGTAGTCACTGTAGGCAATATTAGGGATGTAAATCGGTGACCATTTAACCGGTGGTTGATCGTCACAGCGTTAACCGGTCAAACCTGTCGGTTAAAAAAAGAAAAGGGGGAGAGAGGAGGTCTCTCTAAAACGCTATTTTAAGCCCTTTTTGCACGGTGTGACGAGCGGGTCCGTATGTAGCTGTGTGCGCCAACGTATCAGTAAACTCCGAGCTGACTTTCATGCCGCACGCGCCACATATGCATGCACACACACATGCGCGCACACACACATGCGCGCACACACACATGCGCGCACACACACATGCGCGCACACACACACACACATTTTCCCCCCTCCATTGATACGTAACATCCACTCGCATCCTCTCTTCCCTCTGTTACTAATCCGCCAAAGTTGCACACTAGTGCGGGCCAGAACATACACACATACATAGATGTACACACATACCGGTCTGTCGCGCTCATCTGTGTCACACAGCCCAAAGTAACCTCGCGGCTCCAGTCAAACCATATGGGAACATGTTTGTGCTGATGGTCATTGGCATCAGCTCCACACACATCACTTGTATTTAAACTTTAGAGGAGACCTGCAAGACGCGGCTCGTCACTCGCTGCTCTTACCATGTGAACAAGCCGTCTTTTGCTTAAAAATGCTTTAACCCGCAGCACGGAAGATTAAAAAAGCAGTTCTCTGTGCGCAAAGGTGCCGGTGTAACGCCGAGATACACTGTCTTGAAGAGATGCACTGCCTCAGCTGTTTATGATGTAATGCAAACCTGCGCATGCGCGTCTCACGGCAGCCGAAGCATACCAAGCATTAACTTGCTAAAAGTTGAAATACGAACGAATTAAGACACGAATGTCACTTTTAATGCAATTTGAGGCG